TGCAACAGACACTTTCTGTGATCAATTTGTGACGATCTTCCAGAAAGAAAATATGATGAAAATTAGCGACCAACATCTATAAGTTTGCAATCGATTTGCGACCGCCTAGTCATTCAGTCGCAAAATTATTTGCGACGAGCACTTTTGAGACCGATTAATGTCTGTCGCAAATCGGTCGCTATATCCAATTAGCAACCGATTTCTTATATTTAACGATCGATTTGTCGGTCGTAATTTAGTGATTTTTTTGTAGTGCAAGTTCTTCGAATAATATTGCAGACCACTACTGAAAGAAGTTATGGACTCTTAATGTGCCTCCGAAACTGAAGCACTTTTTCTACAGGGCTTCTACCAAGTAGTTACCTACAAAAGTTGCTCTCTCTCGCCATGGAGTTGTTGTGGACAGGTCTGTGATTTCTGTGGTGCTGTTGAGGAGTCAGATTCTCATGCGTTGCTGCAATATGAATTTGCCAGACGAATTTGGTATCTCAATCCTTTGAGACAAATGATCTTAGATTCTAATTTCCCTATCAAGCACTGGTTTTTTAACTGGGTGGATAGGTTTGCAAGTGAGCAGCTAGAGGTGTTGGTTTCGCTCACTTGGAGTATTTGGAGGGCTCGCAATTGTCGTCTGTTTCACAATCAGATATTAATGGAGCCTTAGATTGTTAACCAGGGGCTATCGTTGCTGCATGAGTATCAGACAGTTGGAGAATGTCCCCAGAATAGTACCCATGATGCTGTGAATACGAGATGGTCTCCTCCGCGGGCCCCCTTTCTTAAAGTTAATTGTGACGCGTCTTTTTTAGCTGCTCATGAGCTCTGTGGTCTAGGGTTTATGGTTCATAATGAAAATAGGGAAGTGATGGCTTGTGGTGTAAAGAGATTCCGTGACAACTTGCCAATCTATGAGATAGAGACTGAATCCATTTTGTTTGCGCTGAAGACTTGTGTTGTGCTATCCTTTCACCATATTGTTGTCGAAACTGACTGTCTCCAAGTGGCTCGACAGTATTCTCAGCAACATTTCCCTCCTTCTACATGGGGAACTAGACTTTATAGAGTGAGTTCTTTAGCTGCTTCTTTTCATTCTTTGTCGTTATCTTATGCTACTATAGCTACCAATTTGGTGGCACATAAGTTAGCCCACATAAGTTAGCCCAATTGGCCCTAGCTACCAATTTGGTGGCACATGTTGGCCTTTGTTTATGTTGATTCTGAGTGGGTTTGGATTGAGGATTGCCCACAAACAGTTGTTGCTTTGATTCAGCTAGAGGCTTGTCCCTGACCTTTTTTTTTAATGCTAGTTTTGATTTTCAGAAAAAAAAAACAAAAAAAAAAATATTATGTTAATAAAATCAAAATTTTGAAAAAAATAAATGTAATTTTATATAAAGAAATTAATTTTATAAAAAATTAATAAAAACAAACATTAGGAAATCATTAATACACCCGCAATGCTGTCCGGGCAATATTGCTTGTTTTAATTCTATTAGTGTTAGAACTCGCACGATGAGCGGAACAATTATAAAGGATGAAATAATCTTTTATAATATCATTCAAAAATAATAAAATTTATATAATAAAATGATAAATTGTATCTCATTGAGATATGCTAAAAAGTTGCAACGCTAAGATATGTCTTCTTAAGTATCCTTCGAAACCTTTCATAAGATATACAATAGCAAAGTCATACATGGTATGACATACATTAAAAAAATACATATATACTTCAATAGTGATAATAACTTTGAGAATTTAACTAATTATATTAAAATAAGAAATTAAATATTTTTTATTTTATGTTTACTAAAAAGTTGCAACGCTAGATAGTGTCTTTTAAGTAATCGCTTCGAAACCTTTTCATAAGATGATACAATAGCAAAGTCAATATACATGGTACATGACATACTATTTCACAAAATACATATATTTCATAGTGGTAATGAAGCTTTGAGAATGAACTAATTATATTTAAAATTATATTAAAATAAGAAATTAAATATTTTTTATTTTATGTTTATGATTTATTATAAATGATTGTTTATTTACTTGAAATATTAATGTATTATTCATTTAGTATAATGTGTCCTAAAAGTGTTCATGTTTTACTTTTTTAAAAATTATCATATCATGTACGTTTCTGTATCTTGTATACTGTGTCCATGCAACCTAATTCTTGGTATATGAGACTACTTTATATACGAAGCTATTCAACCAAGGTTTCATTTTATACCAATAAAAGATGAAGTGTCTTTTTTTTTTTTAATTTGTTTTTATGTCATTGAAATAAGAAATTAAATATTTTTTATTTTATGTTCATAATTTATCATAAATAATTATTTATTCATTTGAGATATTAATGTATTACTTATTTAGTGTAGTGTGTCCTATGTGTGTGGATGTTCTACCTTTTTTAAAAATTATTATATCCTGTATATTTTCGTATCTTGTGTCCCATGTCTGTGCAAATTAGCTCCTAATATATAAAACTACTCCATACATCAAGCTAATTAACCAAGGTTTTTTCTTATTACCAATAAAAACTGAAGTGTTTTTTTAAAATTTATTATTGTGTCATTGAAATAAGAAATCAAATAAATTTTATCTTCATGATTTATTATAAATGATTGTTTATTTATTTGAACTATTAATGTATTACTTATTTAGTGTATTGTGTTCTACGAGTATGAATGTCCTACTTTTTTAAAAATTATCATATCTCTCGTACGTTTTCGTATCTCATGCCCTATGTCCGTGCAATCTAGCTCCTAGTATGAGATTACTCCATAAACCAAGCTAATCAACTAGTGTTTTTTTTTTAATTTGTTTTTGTGTCATTGAAATGAGAAATTTAGTTTTTTTTTTTATTTTATGTTTATGATTGCCTTCCTAGTATGTACTCAAAAACCAAGCCTACTCAACAGTGTTTTTTTTTTAATTGTTTTTGTGTCATTGAAATGAGAAATTTAGTTTTTTTTTTATTTATGTTTATGATTTATTATAAATGATTTATTTATTTATTAAAATATTATTATAAAATATTAATATATTATACTTATTTAGTGTAGTGTATCCTAAGCGTGTAGATGTCCTTCTTTTTTAAAAATTATTATGTCGCGTATGTTTTCGTATCTCGTGTCCTGTATTGTGCAACCTAACTCCTGATATATGAGACTGTTTATTAATATACCAAGCTAATCAACCAAGATTTTGTTTTTATTACCAATAAAAATAATGTGTTTTTTTTAATTCGATTTTATGTCATTGATATAGTACATTTACTGTTTTTTTATTTTATATTTATGATTTATTATAAATGGTTGTTTATTTATTTGAAATATTAATATGTTATACTTCCTAAGCGTGTGGATGTCCAATTTTTTTAAAAATTATTGTATGGTGTACGTTTCTGTATCTCATATTCCGTGTCTGTGCAACCTAGTTCCTAGTATATGAAAATACTCAATACACCAAGCTAATCAACCAAGATTTTCTTTTATTACCAATAAAAATGCCGTGTTTTTTTTTAATTTATTTTTATGCAATTGAAATAAGAAATTTAGTATTTTTTATTTATTTATTTTATGTTTATGATTTATTATAAATGAATGTTTATTTATTTGAAACATTAATGTATTACTTATTTAATGTATTTTATCCTAAGCGTATGGATGTCTTACCTTTTTAAAAAATTATTGTATCTCATACGTTCCTGTATCTCGTGTCTCGTATCCATGGAACCTAGCTCCTGTTATATGAGATTACTTAATACACCAGGCTAATCAACCAAGATTTTTTTTTATTACCAATAACAAATGAAGTGTTTTTTTTTTTTTTAAATTTGTTTTTGTCATTGAAATAAGAAATTGTTTTATATTAAAGTGTTTTTTGTCATTGAAATAAGAAAATTTTAGTGTTTTTGTCTCAATATTTTATGTTGAGTGAATTTTATCTGATATAAATGAACGTTGTATTTATTGGAAATTTATGTATACTTATTTAGACTGGCTCCTAGCTGTGTCTGTCCTAACGTGTGTGGATCAATAACAAATGAAGTGTTTTTTTTTTTTTTAAATTTGTTTTTGTCATTGAAATAAGAAATTTAGTGTTTTTTTATTTTATGTTTATGATTTATTATAAATGAACGTTTATTTATTTGAAATTTTAATGTATTACTTATTTAGTGTACTGTGTCCTAAGTGTGTGGATGTCCTCCCTTTTTTAAAAATTTTCCTATCTCATATGTTTCTATATCTCGTGTCCCATGTCCGTGCAACCCAACTCCTGTTATATGAGACTACTCAATGCACCAAGCTAATTAACTAAGATTTTTTTTTATTACCAATAAAAGATGAAGTGTTTTTTTTAAATTTATTTTTGTGTCATCGAAATAAGAAATTAATTTTTTATTTCTTATCCATAATTTATTATAAATAAATATTTATTCATTTGAAATATTAATATATTACTTATTTAGTGTAGTATATCTTAAGCATATGAATGTTCTACTTAAAAATTGTTGTATCCAAACATTCCCGTATAAAAGAAAATTGGAAAAATGTTAAAATATATGAAAATAGAAAAAGCTGTAAAGTATATATTACTATTGGTACTTACTATTCTTCCCTACACTTGACAATTGTAGAGGGTTACACTTGGCTTGCATATAATGAAAATTACTCTACTTTTATATATTTTATAGATTTGTTAATATAACTTTATTATTTAATTCATTTTCATTAATTATGATTTTATTATAACCCCATTAGTTTTTTTATAAATAAAATTAATTTATAAAAAAATAAATATTTATTAAATGTAAAAAAATTAATTGTAATGAAATCATGCATTAAATTTATTAGTTTGTAACTCCATTATTTCATAAAAAAAATTAATTTTTATTAAATAAAAAATATTAATTATAATAAAAAAATAAAATGTCACGTCACTTTCATATTCCAATAAAAATTATATATTTATATAGATAAAGATGTAAGTTATAAAAGTAAATTACCAAATAAGTTTTTTTGATTCCTTCGCTTTTTGTTTGCTGGTTCTTGCAGCGTAAATACAAATGCTTAACCTCGACCAACATACAAGGACAGCTAAAAGAGCTTCACCTAAAACATGAAAATTCCCATCAAAACATTAGTGCTACCCATCCGAGCTATAAACTATACTCGAGCCAAATTTCTCTACCATTGCGCAAGCCGTTTTATCAACTCAATTCTCCAACATTGAAACCTCTATCAGCAGCATAATCTACAAAGCTATATAGTGGCACCACACTCTCACCATACTTCTCGAAACCATCCAATTCCTTTTTAGCTTTAGTTTTCAGCTCTTCTGCTATCTCCATTGCCTTCTGAATCCCATATAAACTGACAAAGCTCTTCCCTTTATTTCTCTTCTCCTCATCTTCTTTATTCATCATTTTTGCTTCTAAAACATCATCAATCACTTGATACAATACTCCAACAGCTCTTCCGTACCTCCTCAATCTTTGTATCTCATCATCTTCAGCACCAGCCAACAATCCTCCACAAGCTGCAGAGCACTCGCCCATTTCGCCAAATTTTTTCTCTTGAGCAAACCCTACAGAGTTGAGATCACCCTCAAGATCAACAAACTGACCGGCAGCCATTCCTGTTGATCCCACGGCACGGGCTATCTCAGCAATCACACGGAGAAGGCGCATCTCTGGAACAAGATCTGAGGGTGTATTAGAAACAATGTGGCGGAAACCAAGAGGGAAGAGTGCATCTCCAGCAAGGATTGCCATGTCAACACCATAAACTGTGTGGTTTGAGGGCTGGCCTCGGCGTGATGGGTCATCATCCATGCAGGGAAGGTCATCATGTATCAATGAAGCTGCATGAACCTGTCAAAAACAGAGTATAATAGACTCGATCTCCACAGCAATGAAACTGAATTTCCTAAAAGTGCTAAGCATGTTAATGTGGGAAAATATACAACTTAATTAGAACTCTTAAAGCAATTTAAAACAAAAGCATTTGTTCAAAAGAAGAAATTAAAACAAAAGCATTACTCTTGAGAACCAAATTTCACTGTTTAATTATGTTTTTGGAATGAAATTTATATCATATCAACAAGCCAAAGCTTTATAAAATAACAAAAGATTCCAGAAAAAGATACTATTGTTTTCCACTTTCCTCGTAACCAAGCAAATGGGAAGTAAACCTAAGTAGAATTATATATTTTATCAGTTATATTCCAATTGGGATTCAAACTCCCAAACCTAACCTAGACAACTCTAATACCAAAGCTAATTGGTCATCTATACTAGTAACTTGTCCTACCCAAAAGAGTTTGTGGTGGAAACCAAAATTCAATCTATGTTCATGGTTTTCACCTATTTTCTAATCTATTTATTTATAAATAAATAAAACAATAAATGATTTATAGTAAGTAATCGAGGAATTTTCTAAAACTATATTTGACTGACTATACCCAACGATTTTAATAATTACCTAAACAGTAATAAAGATCCAAAATTGAAACTAAATTTCAAAACAGTGGCTAAGATACAAGGAAAGGAGGACAGATGATTAACCATTTCAAGAGCACAGGCAGTAGGGAAGGCAGCGAGGCGGTTACCACCGAAGAGCTCGCATGCGGCCACGCACATGACCGGCGAGGCTCGTTTGGCTCCCTTGGCGAGAGCTGAATATCTCATGGCCTCATAGATCTGCTCTGGAAACTGAACCGGAATGGCCTGGTCTAGCTTCTGGTTTATCTCTGCTATGAGGGTTGTCCAATAAGTCTTTAGATCGAACTGAATCGATTTTGATTTGTTTAAAACCGATAAAGAAGAAGAAGAAGAGCGAATTGATAATCCCAGTTTTGAGAAGCGAAGATAAGGATGTTTTGTTGAGAGATAAAGAGCAGGTAATGAAGATGATGCAACAGGAGAGAAAATCATCATTTGTGATTTCTTGAGGATTGAATTAGCATTTAATGACGGAGAGGGGGAAATGTGAATCAAAATGGAGTGACTGTGTTTGTAACTTTGTATGGCCAGAAATGAGACTTTCCTAAGAACGTTTTTGTATCGGAAGTATGATGAGATGAGGGTGCAAAGCACGAGGCCGACAAAAGTTGATCGTCACTTTCCCCTCCACTTCAGCAAAAGACTGTGCGTAGGTCCATCGTCCATGCCATCTTAGTTCTATTCAATTTTTTTCGTGCTTTGCCTTTTCCTTTTCGGAAAAAAATAAAAATAAAAAATAAAAAATAAAAAATAAATCATAAATTTTTATTTTGACCTATTAAATATTATTTCATATATAAAATTATAATTATTAAATATTTTAATTAGTTTCTTATTTCAATTTATTTATTACCGAGTGCTTATAGCCTATTACACTTTTCGAAAAAAAAAAAATAAATATAAAAAAATAAAAAAATAAAATTCATAAATTAGATTTATATATTTGAACATAATATGACAAATAATAATTTAATGATATAAAATTTATAATTTTAATAAATTTTTAAATTGAAACTTAATTAGAATATATTAATTTAATAAAATTAATCTATTAAATAATTAATCGATATTTTAATTTATAAAATTAAATCAATTAAATAATTATTCGATTTTTAAAAATGTAAAAATTATTGTTATAAAAATTATATTAATCACGTGTCAAATCAATATTTTACATATAAAAAGCTAAAAATCTTAAAAATTTATTTTTTCTAGTGTGACAATGTATAAAATTATTACGAAAAGAGAAGTTTTTGCTTTCATAAAGTTTGATTTTAAAATACAGAGTGTCACAAGATTTTTTTTTATTAAACCTCAAAGATTAAATTATGTACTCGAATATTTTTTTCGAACTGGGTCCATAATCAACGGTGTAAACTAGCTGAGTCGATCTTAAACTTGCCAAATTCGAAACTTGGCTCGATAGAATTTAACTCGATTCAAATTTTGAAAAATTTGAAAATTTTAGCCAGAATTCAACTTAAGACTTGATATTCGATTAAGTTTAAAATAAATAATACATATATATATAAAAGCTCGATAGGATTCAGTAAGACTCGACGATATTTCAAACTAATATCATTAAAATCAATCATGATTCGAGTTTAATTCAAGCCGAACTCTTTTAGAAATTAAATTATCTAAACATATGAATAAAAAACAATTTATTCTATCTAGCGGTACTTTCAACATTTTCTCCATCACATTTGCAAGAGGAGATCTCGACTGTATCAAAAGCTCCGTTTTTGTCTTATTTCAAACTTTGGTGGTTTTTTGATTTTTTTTTCCCCCATGAACCAAAATCATACATATTCTTTTTTTTTTTTTTTTTTTTTTTTCTTGAAGATTTATTCTGTTGACGGATTTTATTTTTTATTTTTTATTTTATTTTTTGGTTTTGCCAACATAGATGGTGAATGATATTTAGAAAGAGATTGGTTAAAGCGATAAACGCAATCGAAAGATTTTTTTTTTTTTTTTTTTTTTTTGCTTGAAGATTTGTGACGGATTTTATTTTTTATTTTTTATTTTATTTTTGGTTTGCCAACATAGATGGTGAATGATATAGAAAGAGATTGTTTAGCGATAACGAATCGAAAGATACAAGTAGTGTTTGAAAAAGGCCGGATCATTATCAATATTTCAAATTTCACGCTTTGTTACAATTACACCTTAAAATAAATTTAACTTTCTAGACATCTCAATTTCAAACTTTTATGATTATTACACCCTAAATGCTAAATTAGTCAAAATTAAATTGAAAAATAATAAATATGGGACCCACAGCACTTAGCTAACCTAACATAAGCCAACTAAGTGAGTTATCTAACACCTCCTCTTACTTAACTAAAACGGTGCACTTTATTAAAAAAATTCATTCCAACTAATCCATTAACCTCTCTCCCATCCTCTCATCCTCAACCATCATCCTCTCATCCTTTCCTCCACTCCAGCTATAGTCAATCCCAATAAAGCCAATCCAGAAATGAAAAAGTCAAAGAAATAAATTATTTCGGCCGTTAAAACAAAAACAAGGCCAAATAAACATCACCCATATGCAAATATTAAAAAATATAAAATTTAAGAAAAGCAAGAGATGAGTATTTAGCTTGCATTTATTTCTTTTGTTATGACTTTATCTCTTTACTTCTACTTCGAATATTTGAAGAAGAAGAACAATCCATCAACTACACATATGCAAATATTAAAACGCACCTTTGTTAGAGTTTGGATTTCAAACGATGAGTTTTGAAAAACTAACCCTCTTTAGATTTGTTAAATATGCATATATTTGTTATTTGTCTAAATATGCAGATATTATTAGTTGAGTTTATTTTTTGTGTTTGCAGTTTAGTAAATATGCATATATTTGTTTGTCTTATTTGATTGCAATGGAGGAGCCATGTAGGAGAGAAGCAAGAGAAACACACCGTTTTGAAGTTAACTCTTCTTGGATTAGCTAACTTATCTGTCATACGTGGGATCCATATTTATTATTTTTTAATTTCAATTTGACTAATTTAGCTTCTAGGGTGCAATTATCACAAAAGTTTGAAATTAGGGTGTCCAGAGAGATAAGTTCGTTTTAAAGTGCAATTGTAATAAACCGTAAAGTTCAGGATATTAGGAATGGTTTAGCCTAAAAAAAACCTCTGTTTGGCAGAATTAGCTATTTTGGTAGTTGTTAGCTGTTTTAGTAGTATTTAGCTATTAGCTGTTTGAGTAGCATTTCATAAAACATCAAAAGCTAAATGTTACATAAGTTAACTTTTCATAAAACGTTGCATCAACCTCCAAAAGCTAATTCAAATACTATATTGCTGAACACTATAAAAAATAGCATTTTGCATTTTGACTGGTTACTTAAAAAGCTGTTATTGAACATGGCCTTTGTGTCTTGCAATAATTACACCCTAAATTAAATTTAACCCCCAGACAACTCAATGGTAATTTTTTTTATCACTATTGCATTCTAATTTGAAATTTATCAAAATTAGTGAATAAAAATATATTAAATGTGGACCCCACATTTCATAGCGCGTTGTTCGGTTCGAACCAGAATCGAACCGTACTGTAGATGAACCGTAACAGGATTAAAATTGTTGGTTGGAAGTTTTAACATAAAACTGACCGTTCAAAACCAGTTAAAGTTCATGTGAATGTTAAATTTTAAACCTGAACTAGCGATTAATTCTTGTCCGGTTCGCATGGAAAATTTTCTATTTTTGTTTCAAAATTATAAATATAACATATTCTACACACCTTTAAAAGTCTAAATAATTTTTTACTGCATGATACACTTTACTTAATTTTTTTTTTTTTTTGAAAATAGACTTTAAAAGTTAAAAATCTAAAAAAGTAAAATGACAAAAAAGGTAAAATATTTAATATAAAATTATATCGTTTGATACGAATGGGAGTTTAATGTTTTTTTCATTCTAATTTTTTTTCTTAGTTCAAAATTACATTGTTTGAAAAAAAAAATTTCAAAATTTTCTAATAATTTATTTAATTAATAATATTTATACAAAATAATGATAATTTACTTGATTATTTTATAAAATTAATTCATTTTATTTCTTATATGAGTATGAGCATTCTTAAAGTTAGTTTAGTTTTAAAAATATTTTTTTAAATTCACATTAATTTTTTCAAAAGAAAAACTTTTTAGAACTAAATTTTTATTTTTATTTTTTGAAAAAAATAATATGCATATTGTCGAAAACTGTGATCAAAACCGTTGGTTCACCGAAATCGCGCCATAATCAGCCACAACTGAAACCATACCGGAACTGGTAGTTCAAGGGCTAGTTCAGGTTCAACATTTTAAAAATGTTAAAAAGGCTGTAACAACATGCCTATACACGAGTTAGCTTAATTTAAGGAATGTAACATTAGATGAGGTATGTTAGCTCGAGATGTTATGTGACACCTTAAGCAAATCCCACATCGGCTAAGCACAAGGTGGAAGTGATATATATAAGATATAGCAGGCCTTGAGCTACTGAGACACGTTTTGGGCTGGGAGGTGATTCTCTGGCCCAGGAACAAAATCGTGCGGGCCTGGGCCTAAAGTGGATAATATTTTAGTAAGCCTGGGATGTTACATGTTAGCTTACCTTGGACAAGTAATTTACCTTAGAGTAGCGAGACGCTTTTTAGGCTTAGAAGTGAGGCTCTGGCCCAGACAAAACCATGCGAGCTAGGCCAAAGCAGACAATAACCATATAAAATACCCTAAAATCTACGGGTTTTAACAATTGCACCTAAAACAAATGACCTTATTTTAAGTTCCTCTTGGACACTCCAATTTTAACTTCATGTCACAATTGCACCCTGAATTCAGATTATGGCAATCTCATTCAATTATATGCCAAACTTTCTATCACAATTGCACTCTAAATTCAAATTCTATTTAACTTTGATGTGAAACCCTAGAGGTGATGAAGCTTAAAATAAAGCAAAACACTTCATGATGGCTTTGTAAATGAGGTTTATGGTGAGGGGGAAGAGAGAAGAAGTTGAGGCGTCTAGGAGAGAGATTGACATAAGGACTAACAATTGATGACGGAAGGAAGATTAGAATAGATTGGTTAAAATGAAATGCAGCATGTCACTTAGCTAACATCTGATGTTAAACTAACTGAATGTATAGAGGTGGGATCCATAATTTCTATTTTTATTCAATAAATTTGTTATAATTTAAATTTGTGGTATCTGAAAGGGTTAAGATTGTTTCAGGATGCACCCTTCTTTCCGAGTAATATACATTTTGCTCATTAAAATGAGATAAAATTTGAATTTAGATTGCAACTAAAATAAAAATTTATCATAGTTTGAATTTAGAGTGCAATTTAGCTAAACCATCCAAAAAAGTAAAAGCATCACCTTATTAAATTATGTGAATTTGAAGTTGAATTTAAAGTAGTAATATAGAGAGGATCCAAGCAAACGTAAATCTAGTTTTTAATGTCTCAACATAAATTGGGGTTTCACAATCCTTGTTAAAAGGATTATTAGCAGATTCTTAGTTCAAAGAAGGTTGCATTTCAAAATCCTTAGGCATCGCATATTCTTAGAATTGTCCTATTATTTAAAGAAGATATAATAGTT